CTCAGTGTGTGGCATCTCAGTGTGTGATGTCATCTCAGTGTATGGCATCATCTCAGTGTGTGGCATCATCTCAGTGTGTGGCATCTCAGTGTGTGTGGCATCTCGGTGTGTGGCATCATCTCAGTGTGTGTGGCATCTCAGTGTGTGTGGCATCTCAGTGTGTGGCATCATCTCGGTGTGTGGGACCTCAGTGTGTGGTATCACCTCAGTGTGTGGCCTTCCGGGCCTCTTTTTGATCCAGAGCTTGTTGCTTTCATTACTGAGTGACAGTCCACAGAATGAGACATTTCTGTCATGTTTTCTAGGATGGAAGTATTACTTTTAACCCTTCTGCTTTTTGAGGCAGCATCTCACTGTGGCAGCTCAGGCTGGCCTTCAGCTCACTGTGTAACCCCAGTTGGCCTCAAACTCTTCATCCTTGTTCCTTGAGCTCCCGAATGTCAAATGTCGTGGTTCACCCAGCTGCATTTCTCACTGTTTTAATGCTAGAATGTCGTGTCTTCCTGGTCTTAAACTACACTTCTCTATTGGCTAATAATGTTGGACATCTTTCAAGTGTTTGTCATTCATAACCTCCTGGGCTCAATGTCTGTCATTGTCTTATTCTCATTTTCTTTTCTTTCTTTTTTTTTTTTTTTTTTTTTTTTTTTTTTTTTTTGAGACAGGGTTTCTCTGTGTAGCTTTGCGCCTCTCCTGGAACTCGCTTTGGAGACCATGCTGGCCTCGATCTCACAGAGATACTGGCTCTGCCTTCCGAGTGCTAGGATTAAAGGCGTGCGCCACCACCGCCCGGCTTGTCTTATCCTTATACATGTCCTGGCTTAAATTGCTTCATTTCCAGAGCTCTTTTTTTTCCTTAGACGTAAGTTCTTTACCATATCCGTAGTTTGAAAATAGTTTCTCACAGCCTTTAGTTTTCCTTTAAGTTCATTCAAAGGCATGCTCCATCTTTAATCTTAGCTCTCAGGAGGCAGAGGCGGGCTGGTTTCTGTGAGTCTGAAGCCAGCCTGGTCTACATAGTGAGTTCCAGGTCAACTGGGGTTACAGAGTGAAACACTCTTTTTTAAAAAAATTATACTCCCTTCATGACATTATTGACTTCAAGTTTTATCTCATTGTGATAAGAAAATATATCAGATACTTTTTAATTTTTTTCATTTTCCAGTATTTGTTTTGTAGCCTAATGTGTGGCATACTCTAGAGGAAGTTCCATGTGTGAACATACTGGACAGTTCTGCGATGACTGTTCTGTCCGTCTGCTCTCCAGCACATTTCACTTCTCACACCTCTGCATTGATCTCTCTGCTTACGCTAGTGAGAGTGGAGTATTGAAATCCCTCTCTTACTGCACTGAAGCTTATCTTTCTTTATTTTGGGGTCTGTTTTATGGAATTGAATGCTCTGCATTAGGTACACAGAGACTCGTATCCTTTGTTGAATTGCTCCTTCAATTATTACCTAGTGGCCATCTTTGTTTCTTCTGATGTTTTTTTGTCCCAGAATTCCTTTTATTAGATATAAGTACAGATACTCCAACTTGTTTTAAGTTTTCATTTGCTTAGAATACCGTCTTCTGTCTTTCCGTTCATCTAGACACATTTCTATTGGTGAGGTAAGTTTCTGGAAGGCAGCTTGTGTTCATTGGATTATGTTTCTTTATCCTTTTGTGTGGTCTGTTTCTTTTAACTGGAGAATTTAGTCTGTTTACATTTAAGTTTATAATTGACAGGTAAGGACATTTTGACTTTATTTTGTTGACTTTATTCTAGTTGTTTTGAATATCTTTGCTGGGTTTTTTTTCCTACTCTTGCTCCCCTGTTTAATGATTTATTTTGTTGTTAATATTTGTATCTACCTTTCTAGAGACAGCTGTACTTTCATACACATGCATCTTTACTTCACTTCTGGATATAGGATTCCCTTAAGATCTTTTGTAAGTCTAGTGTGATGCTTATGAATTCTGATTGCCTTAAAAGGTCTTCGCACCTGGAAGCTAGCCCTGCTTTTTACAGTAGTCTTGGTTGGCGGCTATTTTCATTCAGGACTTGGGCTATGTCATCCCATCCTCTCCCGGGCATCACAATTCCATAGAAGTCTGCTGTGAGCCTGGCAGGTGTGCCCTTAAATGTGATTGTATACTTTCCCTTTGATATTGATTTTTTTCCTTTGTCTAGTTTTAGAGATATTTTTATTTATTTATTCATTTATATTTAATTTGTACTAGTGTTTTTCCTCTGTGTATTTATGTGTACCATGTGCATGTCTGGTACTAGCAGAGGCCAGAAGAGGACTGACTCCACATGCCCTCCAGCTGTAGTTACAACCAGATGTGAGGCACCAGGTGGGTGCTGGGGAGGGAGGCCAGATCCTTTGCAATGGTAGCAAGTGCTCTTACCCAGAGAGCTGTCTCCAGCCCCGTCATACATTTTTAGTGTTTTGATTAAATAAGTTGTCATAAGATTTTTTTTTTTTTGTGGTCATGTCTGCTGGGTTTCTATAAGCCTTCTGCATATGGATGTCTACATTTTCCCCAAGATTGGGGAGTTTTTCTGGTATTATTTCATTGAGTGGGTTTTTTAAAAAACAAAATTCTTTTAGCTTTTTTTTAAATGTATTTATTTTTGTGTGTACAGTGCACCATAGGCATGCAGTACCCACAGAGGCCAGAAGAGGGCATCAGATCCCCAAGTCTGAAATAACATGCTTCTGAACCACCTTATGGGCTCTGGAAATCGAACCTAGAAGAGCAGTCAGTGAGTGCTCTTAGCCA